TAATACCTCTTTCTGTGGAGAGGGGACTAAATTCCATCAGGCTGGGCTCTCAGGGCCCCGGTTCATGACGCGGTGACCTATGCTGACGCCTCCTGAGGTGAATCTGCTTTTTAATCATCTCCTCCATTCCAGTCTCCCCATCCCTTAAACATGGGTGCCTATGCTTACCTCTTCTGCTTCGAGGGGAGGAGAAATCAATCAGACATGACCAAAGCCTACAAAATACAATAAAATAATCACAGCTATTTCAGCTTAAAAACCCACCAGGGCCTCCAGATCACTTGGGAAAAGCATTTTATATGTGAATAGAAATCACACCATCTGCTGTCCTTCCCTAGTTTTTAAATCAGATCAGTGCCAAATCACACATCAAAGAAAGAAGAAAATAAGACCTTTTTGAACTTCATCATAAATTCATGATGATCTGCGTCCCACATAAGCTCAGTTTTTCCTTCTAAGACCTGGGGTCTTCCCCAAGGATAATCACTCAGGTCAATTTCACAATTGATTGACTTAAAAAAAAAAAAAGTCTACATCATACACACATACCCCTCACTGGAAGGCACTCTCCAAATACTGAAAAGAACTGGTATCAGATTATCATGTAGGAAGGAACAAACAGAGTTTTTTGTTTGTTTATTTGTTCATAATTCTCTCTAAGAAATGTTTAACAACCTCGGGGCTTTTTGTCTTTTTCTTAGAGCTCATTTTATCTTACTTATTTATTTTTGGCTAGGCCATGCTGCTTGCAGGATCTTATTTCCTTGACCAGGAAACAAACCTGTGCCACCTGCAGTGGAAGCTTAGAGTCTTAACCACTGGACCACAAGGGAAGTCCCAAGGAAAGAGTTCTTTTTTAGAAATCAACCAAACTAGGGATCTAAATATGAAGAAGCTGGTGAAATAGACCAGAAAGTAAAGCATCATTTTCACAGGCAAACATGTATAATCTCTTCCATCTTCATTCAATAAATATTTATTAGTCACCTACTAGGAAGGAGTGGGAAGGCCTAGAAAGAGCACAGACTTTGGGAAAAGAATGAACGTGGGCTCTACAACTTGCTACTTCTATGATTTGGGGCAAGTTGCCTCACCTCTCTGATCCTAGTTTTTTATTAAGTGAGGATTTTAATATCTCCTTTATAGAGCTGTTTTGAGAATTAATAACATAACATATTTAAAATACTTAGCATAGTCCTGGCATTAAGGACACCATCAAGGTTTATTATCTATTCTCATTCTCTGTCCCAAGCAACAGTGAGAGGACAGACAGAGTTCTGGCCCTCAAAGAGCCAGAGAAACCTACCAGAGAAACATTTCTCCCAAATCCTTTCTCATTTAGGAAAACACTAAAGTCACACCTAGATTGGGGATGTTAACATCTCATCGGCTTCCAGATGACAAACACAGCTGAATTACACACACAAGGGAATATCAGAAGGCAAGAAACCCTTTCCTGAGGAAAACTGGGGCTAACCCTGCAATGCAAAACTGCCTCGCACCAATTATTCCGATCCAGGCGGAGGTGTCTGGGTATAGTGGATAATTAGTGGCTGCCCCAGTCTTGGCACTGACATGACTGGTACTATTTAATGTAATTACATTACAGTAAAATGATGAGTTTTCCCATAATTGGTAGTTACAGCATAATTGAGACTACACAGAATATTAACACCCTAATTGCCAGAGCCTTCCAAAAACTGTTAGTTAAGTAAATGTTTCCCTTCTCTCTGGGCAGCAAAATGAGGGAACTGGAACTTTCTAGGACAGCCGCTCACGTATGCCCTTCTTGTATTTCATGCACCAATCTCCTCAGATTTTTCAAGGGATGGGGCTCTGAGCTCTGCAGGACTCTGTGTCATGGGCTTCCTTCCTTCCTTCCTTATTAAACCTGCAGTGACAACCAGCAAACATCTGGCAGACTCATTCACAAGTATGACAGCAAGCACTAGGCTCAGAGTGAGGCAAGTTGGTTCAAATCCTGACTTGCCCACTTTATTTCCCTGTGACTTTAGCAATCACAGTAAGGAGCTTCCCTGGTGGTTCAGAAGGTAAAGAATCTGCCTGCAATGAAGGAGACATGGGTTCAATCCCTGGGCTGGGAAGATCCCATAGAGAAGAGAATGGCTACCCACTCCAGTATTCCTGCCTGGAGAATTCCATGGACAGAGGAGCCTGGCGGGCTACAGTCCATGGAGTTGCAGAGTTGGACATGAATGAGTAACTATCACTTTCAAGCTAACTAAGCCTTCTTTTCCTCACTAAAATGAAGATTATACCAGTCACACCATGGTACTAATTTAGTAGGTAAAAGAGTTACAGCACACAGTTGGTGCTTAAGAAATATTAGTTAAATTTGAGGGTAACTTACTAATCAAAATGAATAGGCTGGGGACTTCCCTGGTGGTCCACACTCCCAATGTAGGTGACCCAGGTTCAATCCCTGGTCAGGGAACTAGTTCCCACATGTCACAACTAGAGTACACATGCCAGAACTAAAAAAGATCTCTCATCCTGTAACAAAGGTCCAAGACCAGGGCAGCCAAATAAATAAATACATAAATACTTTTTAATAAAATCAATAGGCTGTTGTTCCCAGGATTATTTCCATTTTTAATGGTACAACAAACATTCTGAATGAAATCAAAGTCATAATTCAACAGGTAGTTAAAGTATTTGAGGAAGTAGAATAAGTTTTCCCAAACTCCTTATGTGTCATAATAGTGTCTAGCCACTTAAGAGGTAGAATCGTGTGAAGGTTTAATACACATACCACAAATCCAGATGGCTCAGGTTCAAATCCCAACTCTGACACTGTCTAGTTGTGGGGCCCTGGGAAAGTAGCTTAACCAATCCACATTACTATCTCCATCTACAAGGGAGGGTTATTAATTGTACTAAACTCCTGGGGTTGTTATGAGGACCAAGTAAGCTAAAACACATGAAGTTGAGAGTAACTGGCACATTGTGCACTCAATGTGTTGATGTTATCAAGATTCTTATTCTATTGACTGCTGATCTAATTGTACTTTCACTGATAAAAGGGATAAAATAATCACGAGAACCAGAAGGATGTCCATTTGCATCAGGAAAGCTACAAACTTGGAGAAGGAATGAAAGGTTTATAGTCTCAGAGCAGCAATAACTTATGTTCACTTTATCAGAAATGCTATAATCTAAGAGTCATTATGAAAAGTAAAATATGAACTTTCTTAAATTCCACCAGTGATACAAAGGTATTAATGTCATTTTGAGACCCCAGGGTACTCTAGGATAAACTAATGGAAGGGCTCATAACCAGAACCTGACTCAATAAAGGCACAAATAATGAAAAACTCACCAATAAAAATATTTTGTTACTTCTAAATTCAAGGATTAGATTAATTAAACTGTAGCAGGGTATAAGTTTATGCTTCTCCTTTCCAAGTTTGACCAGTCCAATGAGATGCTTTCAACAAGTATTTTGCTTGCCTTATATTTTGCCAACTTCTATTACCTCATATTTGGAAAGGTGGTTGACAATACTAAAGAAATAGAAATTTGTGTCTTAAATTGTGTCATCTCAGAATCTCCATAGAGATGAACATCAAGGTGAAACAGAATTCATTAAATTAAAAGAGATAGATTTATGCCCTACGGTGAAATTGCTATCCTTTTGTCTACCCAAGATCTGATTTCTTGTGGAAATGTCATTCCCTGCCCACCCTCCTCACATACAAACTCTAATCGTGAGGTCTACATAGAAGTAGTCACATTCTTAAAGATCACAACCCCAAGACCACTAATGATTTATCCTGCATTGGGCCACAGACTCAAACAGAGAAGATAATATTCTATCCAGTTGGCTGCAATTGGTCAGCTCAGGGGAAGCCACCTGACTCCTCCCATCACCTTCAGCCAATCAGATGATTTCCAAGGATTGACTCATAGATTGTCTGATTAAGTTGTTTCCAATGGTAAGAGCATAAGACAGAAAACTTAGAACCACTGGTAGCAATGGTTCCCCTCGCTTTGTACAAAAAGAAAAAGAAAAGAAAGAAGCAGTCTCTAGTGAGAAAAAGTGTAGGGGACACAGTAACAAATGGGAGAGGACTAGTGATGCCCCAGCCCTTCTTTTAGTCTCTTCTCTTCTTGTATTTCTAGGATTTGATTAGCCAGCCTCCCTTAGATTCCATAGGCTAATCAATTCTCCTTTCTGACAAGTTATATTTCTGTCTCTTGCAACCAAAACAGCTTTCCTTAGATGTGTCCCTAAATTCTGGGAAGAAGCAAAATGTCACCTTTAAAAAAGCGTTAAGTAGGTGAGTTTTGATATCATCTCCCAAAACTTTCTCAGATGTTTTCACAGAAGGAAGAAAAGACAGGCTGTGTGGTTCAGTGAATAAAGAAGGAAACTTTCAGGCCTTGGGCTGAAGAACTCCCTCTACCATTCTCTAGTTAGTCACTTGGGCAGGCCCTTTAGCCTATTTAGTCGTTTATAAAGGTATTATATTACAAGACTTCTTTCTAAGACTCCTTCAAGCACCCAAATCCTAATTTTCAGTTATATTTCTCTAAGTCAATTGCTTCCAGGTTATTAAGATTCCCCAGTGCCTGTCTAGCAGAAGTTGTTTTTTTTTTTTTAAACTTCTCCCCATTCTCCTTTGGATAGTCTGGAAGCCTGTGTTAGCATTTGAGCCACTAATTTTCTCACTCATCCTTTCTTCAATTAAATCCAGCACTTCTCAGAAAATGGCTGGAAGGCTACAGCTTGGATGGCAGAGAAAGAGGATTAACAGGAGCGGCTTGTGGGCAAGATAAGACTAATGAAGAAACAGTGTGCAGTGATCGCCTCTCTGGAGAGGAGTTTAACCTTGGGGAGGAACCAGTGGTGGCTGCAGACACCCGTTCCTTTGAGAGAAGGTTGCAGAAATTAGCCTACGGGGTTACAGTCAGCAAGGCAGAGGGCCTTAAGGAAAGGCACTTGGAATTGGTTCAGGCCCATCTGTGGGCAGCAGATGTCACCAGGAGCTCGGGGCTGGGATGTGAGCCAAGGTCGAGGAAGAAGTCAGGAAAGCCCTCGTGACAGAGCTGCGGAGCCGGCGGCCATGTCTGCCGCAGAAATGAACCGCTTGCTTCCAGCGCTTGCAGCCGGCTTTGCGGTATCCGAGAAGCGCCGGACGGAAGAGGGAAAAAGCGCCTCCCAAGCAGGCCGCAGCCTTGCCTGGGACGTCTGAAACGGAATGTTTAATCACGGTGGCGCACTTTCTCCAGCCTTCTCAGGACAGAAAGGAATCCCTAATGAAATGATTGCTTTGCTGACTGAATTAAAGATTTCCAGTTAGGATGCTTGTAAACACACCATGTTAACGTGTTCGAATGTTAATGGCCGCAGCTTTGTGGAGACCCTGACCGCACGGTGAACTCATTTCAGGCAGCAAAGTGTTGGGAGAAAATGGAGCTAGCCAAGGGGAACCAGCTGTGGTTGCCAGAACATTCTCAGCCTGGAAAAGTGTTTCTGATTAGGAAAAGGGGAAAAGGGAGAGAAGAGGACAAGAACTAAAGACAGAAGGGGGACTTCCCTGGTGGTCCAGTGGCTAAGACTCCCCACTCCCAATGCAGAGGGCACAGGTTTGAGCCCTGGTTGGGGAGCTCCAATCCTGCCTACCACACTGCATGGCCTAAAACATGTGTTTTTAAAAATTAAAGATGGGAAGGAAGGGGTCAGAGGACAGATAAAGCTGCTCCTGTCCTGATGGACAACCTCTGCCATCTCCCCCACCCAACTTTATACCAACTCTTTTTTTTTAAACAAATTTATTATTTTATTTTAGTTTTGGTTGTGTTGCATCTTCATTCCGGCACACAGGCTTTCTCTAGTTGGGAGGCGGGGGTGGGGACCACTCTGTTTCAGTACATGGGCCTCTCATTGTGGTGGCTTCTCTTGTTATGGAGCACAGAATCTAGAGCGTAGGGGCTTCAGTAGTTGTCTCACAGGGGCTCAGTTGCCCCGAGGCCTGTGGGATCTCCCCAGACCAGGGATTGGGCCTGTGTCCTCTGCATTGATGGGCTGATTCTTAACTACTAGGTAACCAGGGGAGCCCCACACCTACTCAAACCTTCTCTTTACTATCCCAGTTTTTTTTATCACATATGCCACAGTTTGAAGCTGCACCAAGTATATCTAGATGCCCAAGGTCCGTATAGTCAAAGCTATGGTTTTTCCAGTAGTCATGTATGGATGTGAGAGTTGGACTATAATGCAAGCTGAGCGCTGAATAATTGGTGCTTTTGAACTGTGTTGTTGGAGAAGACTCTTGAGAGTCCCTTGGACTGCAAGGAGATCCAACCAGTCCATCCTAAAGGAGATCAGTCCTGGGTGTTCATTGGAAGGTCTGATGCTGAAGCTGAAACTCCAATATTTTGGCCACCGGATGCAAAGAACTGACTCATTTGAAAAGCCCTGATGCTGGGAAAGACTGAAGGCAGGAGGAAAAGGGGACAACAGAGGATGAGATGGTTGGATGGCGTCACCGACTCAATGGACATGAGTTTGAGTAAACTCTGGGAGTTGGCAATGGACAAGGAGGCCCGGTGTGCTGCAGTCCGTGGGGTCACAAAGAGTCAGACATAACTGAGCAACTGAACTAACAGCCTCACACACTGATCCAACACGCTGGAGAGAGAGAAATAATTTTTCCCCCCAATGTATTTTTTGAAGCCATCAGAAGGGTGTGCATCTTTAGAGGTGGCCAGCTCACCTGTGACCTCACAGGGTCCGCAGCGAGGGTGATACACAGGAGCCAGCCTTAGAGGTGACAGGCGGCAGCCCACTTCCTGCGACAGCCCCGCTGCCATCTGCATCTGAGTCAGCTGGGGACCGAGGCACAGCGGCAGTGAGGCGCTGCCAGATTACAGAGCAGCCGCCCCGAGGGCGGTGGGGGGGAGAGGAGGACGCCCACTAATAGCTTGCGAGCATGTCTTCTAGAAAGTGTGTTAACCAAACAAGCTGCCATCCCTTAATCCCTCAATCCCTCCCACTCCTGCCTGAATGTACGCTAATTGAAAATTAAGTTTTCAATTTGAAGCCATTTTCTAATTCTGTCTCATTCAGGAGCAGTTAGAGCCCCGGTGTTTTGCTGAATTCCCAACTCGCTTTTCACAAGCTGCCTCAGGAAGCCTACAAAAGAGCCTTGTCAACACATCCCTGACAGCAGCAGGGACGGGGCAGGGGCCAGGCTAAAGATGCTACAGATCTTGAATGGAGGTGGAAGACGGTTCCTCCTTCCTTTTTACAACCCCTGGGTCAAATTTGGCAAAAGAGACCCTCTCATTCATCACTGCCCCATCCCCAGAGTGTTAGGGAAGCCTTGCCAATGAGACCATAAGCTCCCTGCGGGCAGGTACTCTGGTATCTAGATGACCCTTGATCTTCTAGGGTTTCAGACTCCAGGGCACAGACCTGCTTAAAAGAAGAGCAAAATGTCACACTAAATAATGAAAAGCAGGTTTACTGGGGGCTCGGTATGGTGGCTTCCCTGGTGGCTCAGATGGTAAAGAATCCACCTGCAATGCATGAGACCAGGATTCAATCCCTGGGTTGGGAAGATCCCCTGCAGAAGGGACTGGCAGCCCACTCTAGTACTCTTGGCTGGAGAATTCCATGGGCAGAGGAGCACAGTGGGCTACAGTCCATGGGGTCGCAAGGACTCAGACACAACTGAGCGACTGAGCATCTGAGCGCCTGTATTGAAACCTAAAATGAAAATTATAGAAATTAATTTATTTTTGCTTATATTTGATAAAATGTAGGTCATCATTATTCCAGAACCAAGAATAAATCGTGTATTGATTCCTTTGGCGTAATTTTTCCACACAATTGTATGACTGCACAGTCAGGCATTCTTGATTTTGTATTTAACTTTCACAGCATGAGCAAATAAGAGAATCTTTTTTGAAAAATACTTAAAATCTTTCTCAGTTTTCCCAAGGGACTCTCTTAAGCATTGGATATTCTAATAATTCTCTCTTGAAGAAGTTCAGACATCCTCATCCTTGTCTATGGCTTTAATTTTGAAGCCTTCTTCACAATCCAGTTTTGCCAAACAGCATACGTGCAATTCAGATGATCTTCCAACCTCAATTCCATTGACTTCATGAAATCCCATCCCTTCTGTAGTATCTCCAGTTTCACTTTGCAGTTGACTTACATTGAATTTGCTTTGCAATTATCAGATGTTCACCCTTCATAAGTCATCAAGAGCCCGACACCCACCCACGAAGACACCAGGTAACACAAGAGAATGGAAATCAGGGCAGATCAGTGAAGGATGTCTGATGGGAACTGTTGTAAGTAGGGGGTTCGTTAGAGAATATTTTCATTTGCAAAACCTTTCCTGAGCAATTTCATAGGATTCCCGTGATTTGTTAAGTAACTCAGAAATCTGCCACAGGTTGTTACTAGGAGGTGACTTCAAAATAATCTAATTTTAATGAATGGCTAGGCTACTAGGGAGGAGAAAGAAGGAGCCTTTTGGGGGGAATTTAGTTCTTGAAGTATTCCCAAGACGTCATTATAAATAAAGTATGATAAATGACATGACCACTACACCCCCCTCTTCTCAGCGTCTGTGACAAGCAAGAATCTCATGTGCTTTGACTGAAATGCAGGTCTGAAAATGCATATTTCATGATTAATGGAGCTTGAGTGACATAAGTGGAAACTGAAATCTTGGGAACAGAAGGAAATAGGTAAACAATACATGTGAATTTGCCTGGGGCTTGAGGAATGGGAGAGGGGAGCAGGGATGATGATGCAGAAGCTTAAAGAAGCTTCCAGGGGCAGGTAGGAGTAAAAAGACTGGAGGAAACTCAAAGCTCAAGAGGGACAGGAAAGGAAAAGAAAGATCCAGTGTAAGATACAGGCCCACCTTGCTGGAACTGGACTAAGACACCAGCTACTAAAAGTGCAATTCACAGAAAGAAAAGCAGTGGTTTGAGTGCTTTGTCGAGAACGTAGTTCAACAAGAACTTGAGAGTTGCACTTGGTTCTCCCACGTGATTGTGCTTCAGATCTGCATCGACCGTGGTATGACCACAGGTAAGTGACCTAACTTCTCTGCCCTTCTGTTCCTCATTAATAAAACAAGATGTCACTTTCCATTTCAAAGCGCCTTTGAGGGTTAGCACTAGTATCCATGTTACTGTGATATATACTGTATCCTGCCTGGTACATGTTAGTCTCTCACTCAGTGGTAGCTATGATGATAATAATGATGATATGGGTGGGGCCAACGCGTACCTGAATTTCCCAGGTGGCTCAGTGGTAAAGAATCTGGCTGCCAATGCAGGAGACACAAGAGACACAGGTTTGATCCCTGGGTCGGGAAGATCCCCTGGCATAGAAAATGGCAACCCACCCCCGTATTCTTGCCTGGAAGATCCCATGGACAGAGAAGCCTGGAGGGCTTCAGTTCACGGGGCTGCAAAGAATCTGACACAACTGAACACCCAACATGTACCCAGCCACAGTAAAACTGGATAAGCCTGAGCCAATGAGTTACTAGTCCTGACCTCACTGCAAAGCAGACCTTGTTCGCTATACACGTGATGGAGGTGTGAGCACTGAAGAACAGGCCATCAGAGGACAGTAAGAAAGAGCCTGTAGCCATCCAGCATTGAGACAAAGTGAAGAGAAGCCTCCAGAGTCAGCACATGCTCTCAGAGGTGACCAGGAGCAGCTTCCCCTGCGTGTGGCCGGGACAGTCTCAGCCCAGAAATCAGCCAAAATGTGTGTGAAAAGTTTTGCCATCCTCAACACTGCAAGATTAACAGCAGGAAAACGAGGACGCCACTGCAGTACCAAATCATGGGAAAGGCAGGATGACTGGGAGGGGAATTCTGGCTCCTTGAAAATGATAATAAGGACATCAATCTAAGGCTCTCATGCTGGGTACTTGGGTCAAGTTGGGCTCCCTGGCAGCAGAGCCTAAAGCCGTCACTTGGATGCATGTGACTTATTGAGGTCGTGCACTCAGGAAGGACCTGAATGGGGGTGAAGCAGCAGGAAAAAGCTGGGCAAGGATGCGGTCTCAGGTGAAGTCTAGGCTTGGTCAGTAAACAGGGAGGGGAGGTCAGCCTCCCAGGCACCTCCAACAAGGTGGCTCATGTCAGCCAAGGACAGGGCTCCATAGAAGGTCACCAGTATGAGCTGTTAGCCATGGATCGGGATGGGTGCCCGACCTCGTAAAGGATCTGGGAGGGGCATCAATGGTTTCAACACCATTCTAGGCAGGTGCTTTGGGGGCATTCATTCATGATGATCCCCTGAGATCCTCCTGATCTACAGAGGAAAAAAGTGAAGCTCAGATAGTCTAAGTAAGTTGCTCTCAGTCACCCAGCTCATGTGACAGAGCCAGGATATGAACCCTGGCACTATGGTTCTGGAACCCATATGCCGGGCCACTGTTCCACCTTATGAGATACTGTTATAGGCTGAATTGTGTCCCCTCCAAAAAAGATGTTTGAAGTCCTAACCCTCAAAATGTGACCTTACTTGGGTATACGGTCGCTGGGGATGGAATGAGTTAAAATGAGGTGGTTGTAGAGTAGGACATAGAGTAGGAAGTGTCCTCAAAAATGTCCTTAAAAGAAGACACGTGAGGAAAGAACATCATGTGAAGACAGAGGCGGGGATTAAGGTTATGCAGCAGCAAGCCAAGGACCTCCGAGGACTACTGGCAAAACACCAGAAGCTAGGAAGAAGCTAGGAAAATTCTCCCCTACAGATTCCAGAGGGGGCGTGGCCATGCTGATGCGTTAATTGCATACTCCTAGGCTCCAGAATCAGAGAAGGCAATGGCACCCCACTCCAGTACTCTTGCCTGGAAAATCCCATGGACAGAGGAGCCTGGTGGGCTGCAGTCCACGTGTTCGCAAAGTCGGACATGACTGAGCGACTTCACTTTCACTTTTCACTTTCATGCATTGGAGAAGGAAATGGCAACCCACTCCAGTGTTCTTGCCTGGAGAATCCCAGGGACGGGAGAGCCTGGTGGGCTGCCACCTATGGGGTCGCACAGAGTCAGACACGACTGAAGCGACTTAGCAGCAGCAGCCTCCAGAATGGGGAGAGAATACTCTTCTGTTGGTGGTTTTTGTGTGTTTTTTTCTGGCTGCAGCGGGTCTCAGTTGCCTCACACAGGATCTTCATTGCATCATGCAGAATCTTGCCTTGCAGTTCACAGACTCTCTTGTTATAATCCAAGGGCTCAGTAGTGCAATGAGGGCTTAGTTTCTCCTTGGCATGTGGGATCCCCTGACTAGGGATCAAACCTGCATCCCGTGCATTGCAAGGTGGATTCTTAACCCCTGGACCACCAGGGAAGTCCTTTTTACTGTTGTTTTAAGCCACCAGTTCATGACACTTTGTTACAGGTGCCCTTGGACCCCAATATAGGTACTAAGAGAAGGTACTAAGTATTGGGGAAGAAGCTGTTCTAGTATAGATATTAAGTTTAAGCTCAAAATAATGGTTTACTCAAATGTACATTATAATCACAGGCAAGTGTTCAAACTGATGTTTATACAAGAAATTCATACAAGCCTCAGGGAGACCTTAAGCTGCCTGTTTAAACTCTGGGGCTTGGAGTCATACTGGCTGGTGATATAATTCTACATCAGCCCTTTGTTTAGCAGCTGTGTAGCCTTGGGTCAGTGTATTGACCTCTCACCTCTTCATGTTTTTTATTAATGAAACGGTGACAATAGTGGTACCCTCTTCTTAGAATTCCAAGGAGGATTAATGAAATAATACACTTAGCATATAGCATACAGTCTGGTACAGAGTGAGCACTGAAGGTGGG